TCGAATTTTATGATGTTTTAAAGTCATGAAAATATGTTTTTATGACATGGTTTTCCAATAGCAATTGGAAGCTTTTTTTGGAATATGATTTTCATGACTTTGAGGATTTTTATGAGGAAGGCTTCATGGGTTTTCCATACCTTTATAGGAAATGGTTCGGGGTCGGATAAATATAGATGTGTACTTTTAAAGGCTTGGTAGAGCTCGTCCGCGAGACAAGTTTGGTTCACCAAACATACTATGAAAACCCTCGAGTACCTATGATGAGACATGTCCAAATATAAAAAAGAATTTTCAGACTTATCATGAAGAGTATTTATGATACGAAAAGAATTTTATACGAGCATAAAAATGATTTATATAAGCATTTTCATTTACATGCATAGCATGCATTAGTTAACTTACTAAGTTGTCGCTCACCTATTTGCTTGTGGTTTAGCCAATACAAGTAAAGATGGTGTTTTTCACCTTCGAGTTAACTACTAAAGGGTCCGTTCGACACATGTACATTGGATGTGGTTGGAGGGTGGATCTCATACACATTATAGCAGGTATAGTACTCGGTATTCTAGTCTACTTTTTATCTATGTTAGTATTTTTCTATATGATAGTTAAAGCAATAAAAAAGTAGATGGCCGACTAGGAAGAAATGAATGTAGACGAGTTTATAAGCGATTTTTGTAGTAGTTGGCTCGAATTGATTTGTATGTAAATTGTAGTTTGTATGTGGACAAAATATCAATACTAAAATAGTAGTGAGCTTATAGCTAGTGTAGTTTTCTTTAAGTTATTTATTTTATGCTAGCATCATCGAGCATTAAGGAAACATAATTGAATAGGTAACAATTAAAGCAAATGGTGATTAAGGAAAGAGAATTAATTAATTACCAAAAAATGGATCATGAATAAAGAAATTTACATAAATTAATAGGAAATGAATTTGATAAAATCAAATGTCACAAATCAAATTAATTTAGTCTAAAGGATTAAAATAAAATAATAAAATGCAAAAAATTTATTGTGCATTTTGAACTAAAAGGTAGGACCTAATCGTCATTATTAGACTTTCGTAGTGCAATTTATACCTAGATGTATTATAGATAGGTCATAGTGCCTTATTAGCTTGAATTCATTGCACTTCGAATGTAGGTTAATGATAGCAATATTTTCAATCTATTAGGTCCTAGGTTGAGGGTGTTATACCAATGCGTAACTTCTCGTGCGTCCAAGCTACACACCCACACAACAACTCCACATCGAATAGCCACATCCCTACTTCAGCTCAAATAAGCCCACACATGTCAACCTCTTCTTCCTCACCAACGACCTCCCCAAAGCCTACCCACAGTAGCCCAAAACATCCCCTAAAGCTCACCCATAATAACTCAAAATAGCCTCTCTAAATGACCTCCTACTGACCCTCTTTTGGCCGGCTTTTTTCTCACCTAAATAACCCCTAAACCACCACATTTATAACCTGTAAACAACCTATAAAACAACCCATAAAAAGCCTCCCTACAACCCATAATGCAACTCCTGCATAGCCACTAGCCAAAGGCTTCGACCTCCACCAAAGCTACTAAAAAGAAAAGAGAAAGAAAAAGATAAAAAAAAATTGTGTTAGATTATGTTTGATAGGAATATGATGTTGTAGACTATGTTCATTTGATTTTTGATACGAAAAACACAATAGCAACTTGGTTGCTAAGTCCCTCAAGTTTCAAGAAACGTTGCAAATTTATAAAGACTTTGCCAATTTATAAGGACTTTAGGTAGTAGCAACCTTGGGCATTTGCATAGATTTTGGAAAAAAATTTTGGCCACATTGATAGGACCCATACGACATTTTAACAATAAATAACTACTCCCCTTCTCTAACTAACTGAATAATTAGTTATCATTAGAGACGAAGGGAGTAGAACCGACCTCTAGAATTAGGCATTGGAACCATAGAACGTTTTGGGTCAAGATTCTAAAATTATTGCATTTCATAAAACATGAATAAACATGATTGCATTCCTAAAAAAGATCGATGAAATCATTGCATGGCATTTAAATATTTATGGTTTTAATGTGTTTGACAAGAACATTCCTATTATGTCTTTTTTAGGAAAAAGTGCCTTATTTTTTGTTTTATCCCTATCTACTTAAATGTGAATTTTGTGCTAGTTTTTGTGATTTGATTGACTTTCCGTGGCTGATTGCAATGATAAAAATAAACCACTAGTGGCTTCCCACTTATGTGACGAAGCCATTAGTGGTTTCGAAATCTTTTTTGTTTCTTGTTCCTTTTTCCTGCTTTCTATTTCATATTTTCTTTTGCTTAATTTTGAATTATTGAAATAAATTTGTTAGCAACTTCCCACTTATGTGACAAAGCCGTTTATGATTTTGAAGTCATTTTATCTGTTTCATATTCATGTTTCTTGTTTCGATTTTCTATTCTTATTTCATGTTTCTTATTTCTTATTTATCAAATCAAAACCATTAGTGGCTTTCCACTTATGTGATAAAACGATCGAGTAGTTTTGAAATAATTTTAATTTAATGTTTGTTTGTTAAAATGAAGTCACTAGTGACTTTTTGCTTATGTGACGAAGCCGCCAATGGCTTCCAAAATTATTAACTCGCTCCTTGCTCAATCTAAATAAAGTGGTTGGTAGCTTCTCACTTATATGATGAAGTTACCGTTGATTACAAATTCATGACTCAAAGTCATTGACGAACTTCCTACTTATGTGAGTGAAGTCGTTGGTGACTTACTCGTTCATGCTAATAAAATGTTATTTATCTTTAGAAACTCACTTATTTATTGATAATAGGTTATGTTCACTAATGACTAGTTAAAATTCTAACTTTCCTCATCTTTCCCCATTTGGAAAGGTGTATTGTCCTTAGGTCGACTCGAATCCCCCAAAATATCGTGTTTTACACCTAAACTACATTTTTTATATATTTTCTTAAAATAAACTTATTTAAATAGGCATAGAAGCATGACACATTAAAACTTGGGCTTTTACGTTCATAGGCAAACAATGCGACCTACCTTAAGTAGGATAGGATGGTAGGGATATTATATCTTTGCCATATGTAACCAACCCCTTATCTAGATATCTATGCGGACCAATATGTTTAGAGTTTTCTAGTTCTCCTTGGTTAGCTAGGTGGCGACTTCTTGTCCAACCCTCCTTGCGAGGTCGATGTCTATAGCTTGCATAATTAAACAAGAAAAGTGACACCGAGTAAAGTTTAAAAGAAATTAAGAAATTCCACACAAAAAAAGGAAGAAAGTAATTTACGTTAACCAATCACAATATTTTATAGACTAAACACTTTGTAAACTTGATTAAACTTCATCTTAATTTTTACCTACTAATAATTAAGCTTTACAAATCATCCAATCTTAATAATAAGAATAGAAAATGTCTTGATCCTCTATCGATTTCCTTCCTTAGCATTCGTTATTTTCAATTATCGATCTCGTGTTTTATTTGTTTTATTTAGGCTAGTCTTATCCTTTAATATAGTCGGGCCTTCTACTAATAATCTCCAACCTCTCTCTAGCTATTTTCCATTTTTTTTTCAATCAAATGCAAATCACCACATAAAAAATGAATGAGTGAAAAGGAAATGATTTCTACTAACTTCAATTTGTTAAAAAATAAATCGAGCAAGAAAATAAGATTGAAAGATCATAGACAATCACACAACACAAGAGTTACATGATTCAACAATTGTGCCTACTTCATAACTCGTATTAGAAATTCTTATTAGGTTTTCAATTTGCTACAAATACAATAGATAATGTTCATTGTTATAGTAAGACTCGTCCTGCTAGGTTTACGTATCGCATTAAATTGTAGATCACTCCATAACAAAACAATCTCTTACTTGGAGACCGATCTCCCTATTGCAACAAAATCTCTTGTAACTATCTTTTTTGCTCAACCAACTTTGAGTCCTCCCGAGTGTAGTGCCTTCTCATCACTAACCGTGAAGGCCAACTAAGATAATGCAAATCCTCGACTTATCAATTATAGCTTGTCTTGTTCAACATATCGGTTGGATTCTCTAATCCCATAATCCTATTCAAATATATTATCCTAGCATCTAATAACTCCTAGATATAGTGGTACTTCAACTGAATATATTTGGTTCTTCGTATGAAATACTAGAGTCTTGATAAGGTAAATTGCACTTTGACTCTTACTAAAGAGTTCACTATCATCATGTGCCTTACCTAGTTCTTTTAGAAATTTCTTCAACCAAACCATCTCTTTATCGGCTTTTGAAATAGTCATATATTCGGCTTTAGTATTGGAAAGAGCAACACACTACTAAAGTTGAGACACCTAACTCATAGCAGTACCATTTAAAATGAAAACATAACTTGTTGCGCTTTTTCTATTATCTAGATTACCACCTAAATCTATATCAATGATTCTCATTCCAAGTATCCGCTTTGCAAGCCCCAAGTCCTTCATCTCATATTGCATGAGCTTATTGATCTCTTTCAAAACAGATTCTTTAACAAGCATATTGTCATAACCCTAACTTTTACCCCTATAACTATTTTAGATTATTTTTATAAATTTCTTTTTTATTTTACATAGTGTAGATTTCCCATAAATATTTATTATTATTATTATTATGTTTTGTTTCATTTAATTTTTAAATTTTAGTTTAACTTCCCATTTAGATTTTAGTTTGATTTCTTATTTACCTTCTTTTTAATCATAAATACGAAAAACAAGAAGAACATAAATGGAAGAAAAGGAGAAAAGAAGATACAAAAAGAAGAGTAGTTTTGAATTTTATTATTAAGGATTTTAATTGTAAATAATGTAAAATTTTGGTGCGTTAATGTCAAAATATTCAAAATTCTTGGAAAACAATTGGGGACAACTGGTGGCCATGATTGAATGAAGTTAAGACAAAAAATGATTGAAATTAAAGAGAAATTAAGGCAGGTAGGAGTACAATTGCATAATATTTTAAACAATGAGAGCCAACTTAAATCTTTGCAAACAGCTCCTTCCTTCCTCCTGCGGTCTCCTTCCTTTCTCCTCCTTAAATGGCAGATCACCAAAACGGCAAAAAGGACCGTTTTCTTTCTCTCCCTCACGCATTCTCACTACAGACAAAACACTTTCCGCCTTTGTCGTTGAGACTAAAGAGGTGCTGCAAAACAAGAGGAACAGTGGCCACGATAGACATAGGACAATGTGTGAGCGTCCCTTGTACTGACCAAAAGAAAGGGCAGGGATGATGTGAAAAGATCGGAGGGTGGAGAAAGATCGAGAACCAAAATATAAACCAAGAGAAACACGACAGAGAGGGAGGCTAGATTCTAGTTTAAAGATTTCAAAGAAAGCTCTCTATTCATAGGATTTAAGAAGCAGAGGGAGTAGAAACAAGGGGGGTCTTTCGATATTTTTCCTTTAGGGTAGTAACAAAAAGCACGGAAAAAAAAAAGCCTTGAAACTTGGCCACCCAAGGAGACAGGAAAAGGATTCTGGTTCTAGAGAGAGAGGAAGGATATCAAAAGGAAGGCGGCAGAAAAGAAAACGAAAGGGAGAAAGGAAGGGATGTTGCAGCAAATCCAGGGTAAAGGAAGGATCTGTGTGGTCTGACATATTCACAGAAGGGCTTCATTTTATTCACGCTATTATAGTCGGTCCTTTTCTCAGATAAGTCCAAGACTTGGTTTTTTTTTCTTTTTTTCTTTTTTTTTCTCTTTTGGTTATTATCCCAATACATAATTTGTGAATATCATCCATGACCATGAGAATATGTTGAGATTAAAGTTTCTGGTTCTGTTTCTGTGTTTAAGAGCTCCAATTCTTCTTTTGCTAAGAAAGGTGTCTGTTTGGGTTGTATGAATGTCTTCTAGGTCATATGAACACCATTAGAAAGTAGGCATAATCATCCAGGTATTTTCTTTTTTGCAATCACTTGATTTAGTTACAGTATTAGAAATACCAATATTTATCTTGGAAGGAGATAATACTTGTAAAAACAGAGAACGAGTTTGTGTACGATAAGATTACTGTTAATAGGGGTGTGAGGATGAAAGAGAGAAATAAACAGAGAAGGAAGAAACAAAGATTAAGGGTGGTAAGAGAGAAGCGACCGAGAAGGAAGAATTGGAGAGAAAGTCTTTCTTTTTGTTTCATGCATAGCCAATGTGCTGCTAGGGTTCCTGTGCTAACCTTAAATTCATGGGTTGGTTTCCATATATCCTTAATAGCCCGGGTTATTCACAGTTGTGTCCCTAAATTTATTTCTAGCCTAAATCGATAAAATTTCAAATTCAAGGACTGTTTCATTTTCTTTTATTTGACAGACTAGTTTTAATCATTTTGGTCTGAAATATTTCAAGTTTGTTCATATGTTTTTCCTTAGCGTATGCTTTAATTTTTTTAATTTTTAGAGTTCATTTACTATTATTTTGTAATTTATTTATTATTCTACCTTATTTTTAACTATTAGTGTAGTTTAGTTGTAGAATTTAATTATTTGGTATAGTATTTAATCTAATTTCAATATAAAATTTTAGAGTTTTTAAATATATTTGTCCATGCTTTGTATTTTAAGTTTCATAATTTTATGTGTTCATTTACTATTTATTTCATATTTATTATTGTTATGCCATTTATCTTAATTATTAATGTGATTTGTTTTAGAAATTGATTTTTAATTCCAGTAACTTTTATCATTTAATCTGAAATTCTTAGGATTTGAATATATGTTTGTCCATGTCTTTTTTTTTAAATTTTCTTAATTTTATGAGTCTATTTGCTATTTATTTATAATTTATTTACCATTCGATTGCCGTTTGAATTTTTAATGTGATTTGTTTCAGAATTTAAATTTTAAGCTCGGTACCTTTTGTTATTTTAATCTAAATTTTTTAGGATTTGCACATATGCTTGGTTCTCGCTTTTTATTTTAATTTTCATAACTTTTGAAGTTTATTTTTTATTTATTTGTAATTTATTTTCAATTCTCGCTATTATTATAATTATGGTATAATATGTTTGTTGTTTATTTAGAAAGATGGTAGATCATCAAGTTTCCTAGATTCTAGAAACTTATGATGATCCCTCGTCAAATTCATCTCGTCAAAAAAAAAAAAAAAAAGCCTTCTTAAATCAATTAGGAAAATTGAAGTTGGCTTAACAAGTCTTCTATTTGAATAGGAACCGATGTTGGTCTTGACCCACACCAAAATAATAATAATAATAAATAAATAAATAAATAAAAGGAAGAGAATTAGCGGGATAAATATAAAAATCAGTTTAAACACATTTAGCAATTAGGTTGTTTCTCGACATGTTAGTCATATCATGATGTAATTGGATTCGATGCAAAATTGATGTGACTCCTAACCTTGGGACCCGACGTCAAATTTAATATGATACCATAAAAAAATAAAAGATTTAATTTTGAAAAATATTTTTTCATCCACACCTAAATAAAAGAAATTTAGTTAACTAGACTTGTTCCTCGACATGCTAGTCATGTTAGGATGTAATTGGATCCAATACTAAATTGAATGGACTCCCAATCTTGAGGTTTGATGTCAATTTAATATAATGGCATAAAAAGTAATAATTTGACCTAGATTATAATTAAGCTTGGAACACTACAACAAAAAGATAGATTTGCGATGGGAATTTAATGATGGTCACAAACTCGTTGCTAATTTTAAAAATTTGCAACGGTTTTAAGCGATTTAGTGACGGTCAAAAAATGGTTACTAAAATTCCTATTTGCGAACATGTTTTTGCAACGGTCTAAACAAACCATTGCTAACTTCACGGGTTTAATTTTTCCCTACATGTAGACCGTTTTTGCGACGATTTTTATGAAAAAAACCGTTGCAAGTTTAGCGACGGTCTAGGAACCATCGCTAAACCATTGCTAAAACGACATAACCTCACAAAAAAGGGATGATTAGCAATGATTTTTTTAATAAAAAACCATTGCAAAAAACAATTCGGTCTAGCGACAATCAAAGGACCGTTGCTAAACCGTTTCTAAAAAAAAGATTAGCAATGGGTTTTTAATAAAAAACCGTTGCAAAAAAAAATTCGGTTTAGTGATGGTCTATGGACCACTGCTAAACCGTTTCTACAATCGAAGAATTGGAAGAAGAATTACGATTATCAATGGTTTTTTAATAAAAAATCATTGCAAAAAAATTTGGTTTATCAACGGTTTGTAGACCATCGCTAAACAATTTCTAAAATCGGAAGAATTGCAATAGAAAATTTTTGATTAGCAACGATTTTGTCATTAAAAACCGTTGCAAAATAACTAGGTTAGCGACGGTCTAGGACCGTCACTAAACCCTTGCTAAAAAAATAATAGAAAATAAAAAAAATTAAAACTAATTTTTGCAATGGTTTTTCCAAAAATAACTATTGCAAAAAATCATATTAGTGATGGTCTAAAGACCATCGATAATCTGTCGAAAAAACCAAACCGTTGGTGGAAAACGATTAATTTTAAAACAATTTATTTTAAAAACACTATTAGCGACGGGGTTAGCGACGGACGACGGACCGTCACTAAACCTTGACCTTTTAAAATCTACCTTCTACCCCAAGAATTGGCGGTTTCAATTCTCTCTCCACCTCCTCTCTTCTTCTCCTCCGACAACACCTCGGATCCGCCTCCTCTATCATTTTCTCTGTCCAATCTTGTCCTCTCTTTCATCCTACCGTTTCTCCCCTCCAAAAATCCCCCTTTCTTCCCTCTTTTCCTCCTTTCTTTCTCTCCATCTCTCCACCGACCCTTTTTTGGCCAAACATCTTCGACGAAGGCTTGCACTAACGCAGCCCCTTCTCCTCCTTCTCTTGGTGAAAGGTCTACCCCCATCTAACCCTCATTTTATTTTTTAGTTTTTTCAGTTATTTAGTTAATTAATATAATTTAATTAAACATCAACAATTAAATTTAGTTTAATTACTTATAATTTTTTATTGCATATGTTATTTTTCCTATTAATTGATGATTTAATTAATATTATTGTAATGTGTTAATTTAGATAGTTTATTTGTTTTAAAAAAATGTATTGGTATTAATTAGTGTTAATTGTGATAGTTAATTTAAATTTAATTGTTAATTTAATATTAATTGCTAATTGTTTTGTTAATGTAATTTTTAATTATTGATTTATTGGATATTATTGTTAATTGTTAATTTTATTGTTATTGTTATTTATAATTATTGATTGAACTAATTTGATTGTTAATTGTGAATTTACTTAGTTTAATTGTTAATTGTTTTGGTTAGAAAATTTAATTGTTATTATTTTATGTTGTTAATTTAATTATTATTGTTATTAGTGTTATTGGTAATTGCTAATTTAGTTAGCTTATTGTGATTAGTGATTAAAAAATTAATAATGATTAAGGTTATTTAGTGGTTCGTCAAGTTAGGGTGTTAATTAAGTAATTACAAAATTAATCAATAAATTAAATATTAATTAAATTGTAATATATTTTTATTTAGTAAATTTTAAATTTATTAGTAATGAAGCTTATTTAGTTGTTCATTAAGTTAAATAGTTAAGTAATTACAATATTAATTAAGAAGAAAAAATTTAAGTTTTTTCGAAATTATATTCAATAGATAATAAATTAAGTTATTAGAAATATTTTAAATGCTTAGTAATTAAAAAAATAAGTTGTATTACAAAAATTAATATATACTTTATGTTATTAAAAAAATTAATAAGTGATTAAGCTTATTTAGTGGTTCATTAAGTTAAGGTGTTAATTAAGTAATTACAAATATAATTAATAAATTAAACATTAATTAAATTGTAATATAAATTTATTTAGTAAATTTATATTTTATTAGTAATTAAGCTTATTTAGTTGTTCATTAAGATAAATAGTTAAGTAATTACAATATTAATTAAGAAGAAAAATTTAAGTTTTTTCGAAATTATATTCAATAGATAAAAAAATTAAGTTATTAGAAATATTTTAAATGCTTAGTAATTAAAAAAATAAATTTTATTAAAAGAATTAATATATACTTGTTGAATATAGATTTAGTACATTATTAAAAAAATTAATAAGTGATTAAGGTTATTTAGTGATTCATTAACTTAAGGTGATAATTAAGTAATTACAAATATAATTAATAAATTAAATATTAATTAA